AAACCCCAAGCCCATCAGTCTTCATCCACTGATCCAGTTCAGGGTCATGGTTGGGCTGAAGCTGCTGTAGGGCATTGGCACTGGATACACCCTGGACTGGTCACCAATCACTCTCACATTCACAACTACGGCCAGTTTAGAATAATCATTTAACCTAACAGTCATGTCTGTGGGATAAAGCTGGAGTACCTGGAGAGAATCCACCCAGACACTGGGAGGAAGTGCAAATATCCCTTCTTGCTTTGAGACATATATCCAAACCACTAGATCACTCTGCTGCCCAAACCTCAAGCCATTATTATTATTAGTATTGTTTTAATCTAACCTTTCTATATTTATATATAGAAAGCATATATTTACTATGTACAGTCTTGTTACTCCACATCGTCTGCTCTCTCTAACTCTCACTCACCTTAGTTTTAGGTTGGCATGTCTCTCTTAGTGAGACTTTTGTTATATTACAATCAAAACCTATTGTTGGCAGCTATAACCACTTTTACTAAGTGGACAGTTGGCCCATGGCATTGTATCACAACTGTTCTGTAGTTGCCAATACTGAAACAATTCTAAATATTTTTGTCGCTTTTAATAATGCAGAAGCCAAAAGTTAAGAAATGGAGGGTGGAGGTTTAAAAATACAGGATTTTTCCTTTCATACTCTGCCTGAATGCGTCCTGTGTTGACTTAGATGGAGCACCAGAAATGTTGCTATAATTGTGAGTGCAAGGTACATGACAGCTGCTGCCCTGCTAATGTGCTGCTCAAGCTACACCGTCTATTTAGGCAGGCTGTGTTCTTCATACCTTTGAAACTTCACTCAGAATTTTAATGCCAGAAAGGTTATTTAATTTAGAAACAGTTTGGATTTCTTCCCATTTTATTAAGTCTATGTTGGGATTTTTCTGCTTCTTTTCCAGCAAAGATGAATTACCAGTCAGAACTTTCTGTCAAAACCAACTGTATGCAGAGGTTTGTTTGAGTTACCTGGCATTGTATCCGGAGCTCAACATAATATATGAAATATATTATATGATTCAGCTCATTAATCATTATTCTGCATTATTTTTCACATCTAGACCAAAGCAAACAGGTCAGGATTAATCAAACCAAGACTAATTAATCAACTGTTTGGCATTTTTGTTGTCACAGACAAAGTAAAGGTTTCACGAATTTAAAAGTATGCAATCATTAGTCTTTACTTTTCTCCTTGTTAGTTCAGATTTCACAAGT